GGGGCGGGGGCTTCTCATCCCAAAGTAAGGGAAACAACCTGACCCCACGGAGCCGCGTTCAGTGTGTCTTCAACCTGGCTTCACCCTCGGGCACCTGCCCGTCCCACCACCCCAGGGCCGTCCCAGAAACCCTGACAACCCCCTGACCCCGGAGGACCCTGGCCAGGACGCGGCCTCACCCCCCAGCCCTCCAGCCCCCTCCTCGCAGGGTAGTGGAGAGGGAGTCCATTCATGCCCCCTGGCAGCACGGACCCCAGTGCAGGTTGCTGTGGGGTGGTGGGTGGGACCGGGATCCCCCCCGCATGCACCACAGGGCCCCAGGTCCGTGTGTCTGGTCTCCCCGACTCGGCTAAGAGCCATCCCCCCCGTGAGGTGCTGTGCTGGGAGGCTGCTGTTTGAAAGGCCCACTGGGAGTCCCCTTCACACAGGAGGTGGGGGCTCTGAGCTTCTGCATTTTTCCTCCCCCACCCTGTAGATCGAGTCCAGCTGCCCCTGGTTCTTCCAGAGCCCAGGTGGTTTGGGGGACAGGTGTACCCTTGGACATCTGCCCCCATTTCCAAGATGGCTTCCAACGCCCATACCTTCAGGAGCGTCCAACAAGGTAAGGGGGCGGAAGCAGAGCTGGGGCGCAGTACCCTAGAAACGCAGTGTGCCCTACTCAACGTTCCCAACCCCGACGGGCTCACGATCGGGCAGGGACGAGAGGGAACGAGTAAACACTGTTCTAGTAACTCAGCACCTGCACAGCAGGAAGGCTGACGTCTGTGGGGCTTGAATGTGAGTCTTCACCCCGTCCAGGCCCTCCGGATATAATGCTCAGAGCGGCGGGTGGTGGGGTGGGCAGGGGGTTTCGGTGCCGGGACTGCCTGTGGGGGGTGGACAGGGAGCCGCGGGGGCAGGCAGAGGTTTGGAGTCCCCACGCAGCAGCCACCATGCTGGGTGCAGAAGGCCAGGCTCACCCCCTTCGGGCGCACCCTCCCCACGGTCCCTGGGGGTCTGACAGCGCGGGTCCCTGGTGGGCCATGGGCTTGAATATGATGCCGGGGCCTAGCGCAGAGCAGGGTGACACCAGGCCCAGAAGCAGCTCTGTTTCTCCCACCGCCCCCAACCCCCCCACCCCCACATCACCTGCGCAGCCACCAGCCGCCTTCTGCAGAGCAGCTGCCTGGCCACAGAGCCCCATTCATGCCCCACACGGCTCAGGCCCCCGGGGGCTGGCGCGGGACAGCCGGCCTGGAGCCGGATGGCGGCTGGGGGCTGTGGCCAGTGACACATCCGCCGCCCCGGGCGCCTGGCACTCGGTCATCCCTGCAGGGAGGGGCAGCGCCCTGCTGCATTCCCCAGCGCTGGCCCTGAACCAGCCTCCTGCCACGCCTGGCAGCTGCACCTGCTCCCGCACTGGCCCCAGAAAATGCGGGCCAAGGCTCGGACACAGCTCCTCTCCCCCACCAGGCCGCTGAAAGGCGGGGAGAGCTTCCTGCCCAGCTCCCACCCCCAGATTTGGGCCTCTCTGCTCCTCAGCTCCTGCTGTGGACCCCAGATTCATGTGTTGAGATCAACCCCCAGAGGGACGGAGTGGGGAGGGGGGCCTTTGGGACAGGATTAGATCATGAGGGTGGAACCCCCATCACCCGGTGACAGATGATTCGATTGATGATTTTTCAACCTTAGGATGGTGGGGAAACCATACACATCCACTAGAAACTGTGCTTCAGATTTTGACATTGGATCTTTTCCGGGGCCAGCGATCCGCAGCGCATTCTCTGTGATGCCGGGCAGCTCCCGGGCGAGCCCTCGGTACGCGGACCACCGTCTGTCCCCACACGACTGCTCCAGTTTTCACTTCCAGGGAGACCCAGGAGGTGCTCGACACTTTGTTATGAAATAGGCTTCGCGCTGGACGGGCCTGCCCACCTGTAGGCTAACGTGGGTTAGCCTGAGCACGTGGCCGGCGGGCCCGGCTGAGCCACGATGTTCGGTCGGTTAGGTGCGTTCAGTGCATTTTGGACTCACGATATTTTCAACGTGACCTCATGGTGCGCTGAGGAAGGTGTGTAGTGCCCTGACAGCGTCCTTGTAAGAAGAGACACGAGAGAGATGCCCTCTGTCCACCGCGTGAGCACCCCCGGAAGGCGGCCGTCCACAGCCAGGAGGCCAGCAGGCCAGCACCCTCATCTCAGACTTCTGGCCTCCAGGACTGTTTCTTAGCCACCCAGCCTCTGGTTTCTCTTCTAGCCACCCAGGGGCACGAAGACCGTTTCCCCGGCGGTTGCGGCCAGGGTTGCTGGTGGCAAGTGGCAGAAACGGACTCTGGCCACGGAAGCAGGAAGGAATTTGCTGGAAGCAATCAGGCCTCTAGTCGAACCCAGGGGAGGCTGGAGAGCCAGCAGGAGCTCTGGGAGGCAGGGCAGTAGGAAGCCACGTTCCTGAGACCGGATGCCGCCCCGGCCCCGCACCCCCGCACAGCTGGGCTGGGCAGCCACGGGACGTGGCCAGCGCCTGCCAAGCAGCCCACGGCCACGAATGACAGCTGCAGCCCTGGCGGAGCACACAGCCGGGGACGCCGCTGCTGGACATCATGGCCAGGGACACCGCCACTGCTACCAAAGTCTGTGGCCACGGGACCCTGCTGTCCCACCAGTGGCTCTGCCGCCAGACCCTCCTCCCCCCCCGCCCCGCCACTCACCACCCGGTGAACTCGAACCATCACGTGACTTTCTGGTCTCAGTTTCCTCTTCTGGCCTCATGATGATGATGGGCCCCCACGTGAGACCGTGTGTGTGAGGGTCTCTGAAAATGACCCTGGGTCACAAACACAGGGATGATCGGGACCAGGCCCAGCTGCCTCATCTCGGACCTCCAGGTGCTCAGTGTGGCTGAGGGAACCCAAATACCACCTGCCCCATGCCCCCCCACCCCACTCACTCCCTCGCGTCTCACGGCACCCCTCAGTCAGGGGGCGCTGCAGGAAGGAGGCCCGGCCCGCGGCGCGTGGGCAAAGGGATGAGCACCGCTCCCAGGCCCAGCCGAGGGCGCCCAGCACCAGCCCCCACATACGTCACACAGGCCGAGTCGCATCCCCCAAACTCATGGGTTGAAGCCCTACCCGTCCCCGTATTTGGAGATGGGGTCTTTAAGGAGGCACGTAAGGCTGAGTGAGGTCACGAGGGTGGGGCCCCGATCCCCCAGGACTTCAGCCTTACAAGTAGAGGGAGCGACACGGCCATCTTTCCTCTCTCGGGGCGCACACAGACAAGGGCCCTGCGAGGACACGGCGGGAAGGCAGCCGTCTGTGGTCCGGAAGGGAGGCCTCACCGGAAACAAGTGCTGCTGGATCCTGATCTTGGACTTCAGCCTCCAGAACGGTGAGAAGATACATTTCTGTTGTGTCCTCCCCAGCGGGCAGCCCAAGCCAACAGGGAATGGGGTGATCTTTTGAAAAGACGGCTGCAGTGATGCCCCCGCATCCACACCCCTGGAAATGAGGCTGTATGCCCCGTCCCGCTGAGACCCAGTCCGCCTCTCCCCCTGGAATCTGGCTGGCTCTGACACAGGAAGCACAGTGGGAAGGCTCACGGCCACTGTGTTTGGGAGCCCAGCCTCCACCACGTGAACAAGCCCAGGCGAACCCGGTGGGTGAGGAACCACACGAGGCCTACTCACCACGTGGCCCCAACCAACAGCCAATTGGTCCCCCAGGAGCAGAATAGCCCAAGACCCACGGAAGCCTCCAGCTATGGGAAGGAGCCAGCCCAGCCCAGAAGAACCAGCCAGCTGAGCCCCGGCCAAGGTGCCAACCCACGGAATGGTGAGCCCGGTACGTGGCTGTTGGGTCTGGAGGTCAGTCGTGACACACACAGAGCGTTCTGATACAGTGTCCGACTCCAAGCCTCGTGGACATGGGAGGCTCCAGATTCAAGGAGGCCGGATCCCTGAGTCGCCACCGGGACGGGTTCCAGCTACCTCCCAGCTGGGCAAGAAGTCTCACAGACAACAGGCAGGGTGGGGAGAGGGAGGGAACCCATGTCAGCACCCGTCACGGTGACCCCACGGCACGTCGGAGAGAAGGGGGTCAGAAAAGCCACCAGAGGGAGAAAGGTATTTAGGGAAGGTCCACTGGAGTAAAGCAGATTCTCAACAGTGACACCAGTGGCTGAGGCCATGGAGAACCTTCCAGAAGCTGACAGAAAGGAAGGACGCTGGGACGTGTGAGATTCAGTGATGGGGGAACGCCGTCAGCAGCTCTGTGGCCCACTACGAAAGCTCAGACAGATCAACTCACCCAAGTGCACCTTCTGTGACCAGCTCAAGAAGAAACAGAATTCTCCTTGAGGCCAGTAACGATTAACATACTGAACCAGCCATAAAATGTCGTCTGGTAAAGGAAACACGGAGCCCAGGGCATTTTATCAAGGATTCTACCCAACTTTCCAAGACAGATCATTCCAGCCTTATACCGAGTCCTCCAGGGAATAAAAAAGAAGGCGTCATCTGGAACTCATTCTGTGAGTCATTCAAAGAGTGTAAGAAAGGCCCATCTCACTCACAAACGTAATGTACGATCCTCAACAAAATACAAGCAGACCCGAAAACGCTTGCAAAAAGTTAAAAGGGCGTGGGTCAGCCAGGGGCCCGACAGGCCGGCGCGGTATCAGGACAATTCAGAGAGGTGGTCTTGGAAGGGGGGCCAGCAGGGCTAAGTCGGGGGGGCCTGGGCTGGACAGGAGGAGTGGGTACCACCTCGAGGCCTGACGGGGAGGTCCCCGAACCACGGAGGAGAGGGTCATTCCCATGCTGGGAGGAGCAGGGGCCTTCAGCGAAGGGACCGGGTGCACCAGCACAAAGCGCCTCGGACAGGGGTCTTCACCAACAGAAGTTGATGCGCTCCGCATCCTGGAGACCAGAGTCCAAGACTGAGAGGCCGGCGGGGCTGGTTCCTTCTGAGGCTGAGGGAGAACGTGCTCCAGGCCTCTGCCCTTGGCCTGCGGATGGCCGCCTTCCCCTGTGGCACTGCCGTGTGCCTGTCTGTGTCCACATTTCCCCTCCTCCTAGGGACACAGTCCTATTGGATCAGGGCCCACGCTCACGGCCTCATCTGGACTTGATCACCTCTGTAACGACCCTCTCTCCAAAGGTCACATTCTGAGGTCCTGGGGGCTGGGACTTCAACATTTGAATTTTAGGAGGACACAGTTCAACCTATAACATGGAGGTGACCCTAAACGGAGGGAGCCAGGGAAATCAATATCCCAATGTCACTCCCCTCCCTCCTCTGACCTGCCGCCAGGGCCCCCCAGTGTCCTCAAAAACCCAGTGGGCACAGGAGCCATGCGGTCCGTAGGGATCAGCCTCCTGGATGGAGAAGGCAGGGAGCAGACCGCAATCTGGAGGGGCAGCTGGAAGATGCCGGGCTTGCTCCAGGCAGGCAAGGCTGGCTCAGCACCACACGGTGGACAATCTCTCATCGGGAGCCGCCTCTTTAACAGACCCACATGCAACACCCACAGGGGAGAGGAGGCAGGGGGCCATGGGGGGCCAGAGGAGGGGCAGTATGAGAGAGAACATTCTAGAAGCAGTGGGAACAGCATGAGCAAGGGCAGAGGGAGGCCAGAGTGGCCAAAGCACAGAGTGGGGGGCAGGGCGGGGCAGAAACGGACTGGAGGTAGGTGGGGTTCCACCCCAGGGATTGGGGGAGGCTCCAAGGTGGCGGGGGCAGTGACCTGGAGAAAGTCCTGGCCTGTCACCTCAGAGAGAGGCGGGAAGACCTGGTCCAAGGTGGGGGCTGTGGAGGTGACCAGAGAGAAGGAGGCTTTGGGGGTCCAGGAGGAGCAGGAGAGGTGGGTGGAGACTGTGCAGAGGACCCCCACCCTCTGGGCAGCTCTGAGGAGGGTCCCCTTCCCAGAGCGGGATGGGTGGGTGTGGGTCTGGATGCACCGAATGTGGGGCCATCTCAGGCCTCTCCCTGAGACCAGGGCTCCCAGCTCCCCAAGGCACCGCTGCTGGGCACGGGGGCTGTCTACAGCACCTCTCTGCCCGCCCCCACACACCCCGGCCTCTCTTCCTGGCCGCACAGGTCATCACATGTCCACCCTGCTGAAGCCCCATCAGGGACCCCTGGGGCACACGCAGTATCTCACTGTAGCCCGCAGCAACCTGACCCCCCAATCCCTGCCTTTGCTGGTCTCCAGCCACACTTCCTTACTTTGATTCAGAGAAACCCCACCCCGCTGCCTCAGGGCCTTTGCATCTGCCGCTCCCTCTGCCCGGAATCCTGGGCTCTTCCAGGCATCTCTGATTCCTTGCCCCAGGTGTCCTGGCCAGCTGGCTGCCGCGGCGTGGCTCCGGGAGGTACATCCCAGTAGCGGCCCACTGCCCTTCACTCCCCAGACATCCAGGCCTGCTGGTTTCTTTGAGAAGGAGTCTCTGGCCTTCCTCCTAGGAAACAGCGCTAAGGGACAGCTGTAGTCAGGGCACCTTCTCGAAACAAAATGAGGGCCAGTAAGTATTTCCAAATAACCTGTCTCAAGTCTTCACGTTCCATACGCTGCTTGACTCGGACCCTGCCCTGGGACAACCAGAGTGTGTGCGCTCCAGCCCCAGCAGCCTGAGGTGGGTGGCCTGAGGTGGGTAGGCTAGGAGAGGGTCGACTAGGTGCCATGCCCTGACCCCCTGGGCCTTGGGGCCAGACCCTCCCTGCAGGGCTGTAGGCTCCCTTCTCCACTGAGAAAGGGAAGATGGGGAGCTGGCCCCGGGACCCCCGGCCCCAAGCCACACCACCTATAAATGTGGGCTGGGCTCCTGGCCCCGGGGGAAGGCTGAGAGGCGCGGGCGGTGTGGGCGGGGTTCTTGGAAGCATCTTTATTGTTATGAGTCTGGGAACCGTGGGGAGGCAGGATGCCCAACCCAGAGGTGGGGGCTGTCTCAGGAGGGATCTGCAGGCCGCTTAGGGGGCCATATCCGGTCTTTGATCCAGTCCACGTACTTGGCCACACGCGTGTAGACACCAGGTTTATTAAGCCTCCCACAGCCGTCGCCCCAACTGATGATGCCATACAGGTAGGCCACGCCGTTCTTCTCACAGGCCAAGGGCCCGCCCGAGTCACCCTACGGCAGGGCTGCTGGTCAGAGCCAGGCGCTGGCTCAGCTCCTCAGCAGTTGCAAAACCCCCCACCACCCACTCCTGCTCCGCCTCCCTCACCCCAACTCCAAAGATGTCCCCAAAGGGTTTCAGATGTCCCCTTTGGTGAGGACTCCCCAGGAGCTCCCAACGCAGACTTCCTGACAGCCTGGGGGACAGATAACAAAGGTACTTCCAAGTAAAGGAGCTATCCCACCTTCCCCCGGCCCCCGGACACAAAGTCTCCTCATTCCCAGGCTGCTGTGACAGCGTCTGACCAGTCATTCCAGTTCCTAAAGCTCTGCCATGGATTCCTCTCAACTCTGTGACCAGGAACGTGCTCCTCAATCTGGCTCCCCAACCCACCCACCAGCACGCACCCTATGTGGACCAGGTGGTCCCTGTGTTCTGGGCTGATCTCCCCACTTGAAATAATAGCCCCCCGGCAAACTCCAATTCACCCCTCAAAACAAGTGCAAATGCCCCCTCCTCCAGAAAGCCAGCCTTGACTTCCCCCAAAAGTGCTTGCTGTATTCATGTGGTCCAGTTGTCAAACCCCCCTTGCCACTTCTGAGTTGTGTGACCTGGGA